ATAAGAATAATTTTTAAAGTGGTCGGGGCCGCGGTGGTGGGGGTGGGGTTATAATAACAGTTGCAATTCGTGCATTGAACTGTGACACATTATTTTACGATTAAAACTATTTGGCAAAATTATATGCTGTAAATTACATGTACATTATATACATGTAAATCAATTGCCTTTCAAAATATATTTAACATTTAAAACAATAAACGGTTTATTTACTGACTCCACAAAAATAATAGACAAATTAATTGATATTCTCCTATCATCAGTTCATTGTGATCCAAACAATGAAAGTAGATATGAGAGATACATGTAGCAAGTCGCAGCGGAAATAGTTTTGCTGAAATTAAATTTAATCATTGTGAAATCAAAGTAACCTTCACGAGAAATATTTTATTTCTAGAGATAAAGCCATGCATGTCAACCCCCCCCCCCAAAAAAAAATAAAAACTTAAAAGGGGGGGGGGGGTAATTTTTCCAATTTAAAAACGGTCATAAATCTACTGATAACTGCAGTAAATTAAATATAAAAAGTGATGGGGAACAAAACAAAACTTATATACGGTTTTCCAAAAGGCTTATATTTTTTTCCATTTACAGTGCTATGAATCTACCGATAACTGCAATAAACTCAATATAAAATGTGATCCTGGGTATAAATTACTGCTTTCGCACAATACGTTCTTCCAAATAAAATATACCATGAACTTACCGATAAGATAAAGAACCTACCGATGAGATATATGAATCCATCTAAAAGGCAAGCACAAGTATGATGCCTCGCATCCGGAAGGCTAGACTTCGAGGTCCATTCCGACTTGCTTGGAGAAAATTCCTCCACCAATCGACTTGTTTCGTTGTCTGTCATCTCAAATGGATCCACTCCGCCAATCACCAGGAAACGATCACATGACTTCATCTTGTCCCTTGTTCTTACTTTGGGAGCTGTGATTTTTTTCTTCTCGTCCACTTTTAGTGTTGCAGGCGACAACTTCCTAACGATCTGTTATATCAAAGATTTAGCTACTATTTAATTATTACCGTAGCGTTTATATTTCTTTTCAACTTTAACTGGTTTGAGGAAGAAAAAATATAATTAAACATAATTTGTAAATGAGATATAAAATATGCTAGTAAATATAAGGGGATTACCCCTCTTGGATTAGGTGACTTCTCAGATGCACTTGATTCAGAATCTGCAGATTTAGGGTCCGCCATCTTTCCTCGATCTGATGAATACTGTTCTCCCGTGTCACGTGATGGGGAGGATTCCGCCGAATCGAGGCTCTTTTTCGACTCACTTCCAGACGACTGGCCAGCGGTGTAAACATTTTGGGGTTGATTTCGTTGTTTCGCGCCCTGCGAGGGATTATTTTTGGAGTCACGTTTGAGATTTTCTGCATATTCCATACTTTTGTTACCACTTCCGTAATTTTGGTAGCCTTGTCTCACCGTTTCGTCTTTAAGGTTTGCTGTATATCCGACAGAATCGGACGCACCATTCTTACGTGGACTAGTCACTGTAGTGTTCTCATAAGTAAAATTTTGACTTGAACCGCCCTTGCTTTGCAGTTCTGTATTTAGAATTCGGGAACCATAGGAAGATGTGTTATTAGTTACGTTTACTGGTGCCTTTTGTGTATTTGAGATCCGTCTGCATGTTTGTGATTGCTCATTCACGGGGATCGAATAATGCCGAGGAGGTGGTACTTTCATTATGGTATATAACGTGCTTCCGCCTAACTTTATAGCGTGATACCTAAAATGTATCATGTCCAAAAAATCAAATAAAAATGAGTACATAAAACATCTAAATAACATTTTTTTCTATAAATTTACTATCATCGTATTAGAGTCTGAGAGATTGTTTTTGCAAAAGGTTACACGATTAGCTGAGCATTTTGAACATGTCCATATCATTATAGCAGTTCTTTTTTACTTATAGTATATTTATTTTGATATTTGAGGGAATTTTAAAGTCTCTCAAATATCAATTAAGGAATGACTTTAATTCTTGGCCATATTATCGAGTATAATCTGGTTTGGGTCAGTTTACGCTTTATAATCCGCGAAGATTATACCCGATAATATGGCCAAGAATTAAAGTCATTCCTTATAATTTAATTTTAAAATAATTAAACAACTTTTGATGTAAAATTGCGTTGCTTTTTACATGTTTTATAAGTTCAAATTTACCGCGCAATAACACAACCGTAGTAACGGAAGTGATTTGAAGCTAGGGGAGGTAATAACTGATACATAGATCTAGCAGCCATGATGTTTGCTTACATGAGGTAAGAACGAGTAATTGTTTAAAGTTGAAGGTACATTTATTAAATCTGGAATTTTCCATGGATTCCGAGGACTGGAAATGAGGGGATTGCATGGATATGATGATTAAGCTGGTCGTCAAGGGGGTGTGTCCCCATACCAAACCAGATTATACAAAATGTTATGCGTTCCTTTTTGGAAATCAGCCAATGAGAGGCGAGAATACAAGCAAAATTAAATTATTATCACATAAAGACATAATGCAATTGTTTTCAGAAAAATATCAGTTCTCTCAAAGCGAGGATTTAGTTTATATTTCTTAATCGCAATTAGTAAAAAATAAAATTAATGGAAAAACTTCAAATACTGTTTTTACCTGAATGCAAAGTAGAGCATTTCAAAGCATTTCTGTATGCTGAAAATGTGTCTCTCTGGCTCCACGTGTTTAACAAGATCTTCTGGACTGATGTAAATCAATCGAACACATCCAACCAGTACAGGGGCGAACTTGATTCGTTCTTTTTGGTCGTGGTCGATCCATCTGAGGACGGCAAAAAACACTTCCAGTTCAGTAGTTATCGCCAGCTGGTCTTGGGAAATTAACCATTCCACCTGATGCATTTCACATTGCAAAAACCCCTCTGACTGCATCATTGTTAGAGAGCATTTATTTATAAACTCAAACATCCGCTCTGCAACTTCAGTAAATCCTTGTCTCTGGGCAATAGGTAGCAAGAATAAGACACTGTCCCTGGTAAACGAGCTGAGAAAATCTTGACAAAAGTTTAACGCACTTTTGACGCCAAGTTGTCGAGCGCAGATAATGATGGCTTCGATGTTTTCTGCCGTGAGTACGAGTTCGTTTGTGTAGATGTAATTAATGAGAGTTTCGGCAGCTTCGGCCGAGGCGTTGGGGAGTATCACCTCTGATATTGTCGACGGCGCCTCATCGCAGTACCGGCTCGTGAACTTCTCACTGTGTGCTGCAAGGGCAAGTTTGTGGGCATGGAATTCTTTATCGTTGACTTTTATGATTATATCACACATGCGTTGTGATCGCCATAAATCATACAGAAACTGGTTCATCTCTTTGGTTGATGATACGGCTTCGTCCATCAATTGTTCCATTCCTTTTGTAAGCATTTCATCCTCATAATTTGTCTCGCTTTGATATCGCTTTCTGACCATCTCGTTATCACAGACACTGCGGCCATATGCTTGTCCCTGAGATGTATCTGCTAGACCTGACATTCCTTCTTCCATGCCCTGCTGTCCTCTATAATAGCGCCCATGTTCTGATTTGTAGTAAGTTCCTTGTTGATGACTTGATTTTGCCGTGAACTGTGTATCATTCGCTGCATACTTACGAGATGATTCGGGCGGTGACTCCCTACCTTTGTTCCCGTGGCTCAGCCGTTCATTTCCGAGGTTAGGCATGGATCTCTGGTGTCTACTTTGACAATCTTCTGCATCATAATACTGAGTTGAAGACATCCTAGAGAGCTGAGCATCCTGTTGAGCAGTAAATCCTGAATCCCTGACGCTAGACTTTGCTCGGCGTTCTGAACTACTTCTTTGTCCTTGTGAGTACTCACGCTGAGCCGATCTGGATCGCGAAGCACGATGCTGCTCACTCTCTTGTTTTTGTGTATAAGTAACATGTGAGCCCCGCCCCATCATTTCCGAGTCACGACGCGTTTCTCCGGTATTTGTCAAACATTCCCCTCCATAGTAGAACCCGTGGGGAGCGTCGATAGACTCTTGCTCCCGTAAACTATGAAAGCTAGATTCATCACTGTTAGAGCTCCCGTCCCGAACATCAAACACTGCATAATTACCGCTTTCGTAAAGTAGACGTTTACTGGGGAGTTTAAAGTGAAGTCCGCTGGGTGTCTGTTGTAATGCCGATCCCTCCTTCACAGGCTCTTCCCTCAGAGAGTGAAAATACTCGGCCACCGCCTCGCGGTTCGCGCGAACCTTAGTAGGAGTCCTGCCTGTTCTTGAAGCCATGTGCATTTCTTGTCGGATTTTCTATGTTTACCTTGCTTGATAACCTAGCGACGTCTATGACGTCTTTGTACCTTTAACCTGAAGGTGACTTTGTAATTGTGACGTCATAATTACTTCCCCCAAAATCATGACTCTGCTATTTTAGTGTACGTCCTTAATAAAAAATTATTGTAAACATTATATAAATAGAGCAAAACTGGTTGATATAATTTTAACGCTTCATAATATTTCAATATTTTTATAGAAAGAGTTTTAACCTTCACAAACCAATTGCATATCTACTCTGCTAAATTGCATTTGATTTTTTTTTTTGGGGGGGGGTGTATCTTTGCGGTAAGTTTTATTAAAACAAATACTAGAAATTAAAAGCACAGAGAAGCTGAATGTTAATTTAGACATTTATTAATCATCTTTATTCTTTCAATATCACGGATCTTTTTCATGTTTACATTATGCTGTTCAATACAGTTACAGGGAACAAACTTATACATGTAATATTTTTATGCTGACATTGAAAATTGTAACTGTATTACTTAATAAAAATAATTATTTTAATAAAGAATCAAAGCTGTTCATTTCTGTTCTTTGTTATAAGAGCATTTAGCTGTATGTACATGTACAAATAAACTATAAATGAAACCTAGCTTTCATCAATGTTAAGATGTATACATAATGTGTAATATAGACTTGATCATTATGAAGAGGGCCTGGTATCTGTTATAAGATAAAAAAAAAAAAACTGGTTATTTTTGTACAGGAGAAAATGCCTCTGTAAACATTTCAAATGTCTTTCTTTATGATTATGGAAAAAAAATCTAGCTGCCACTATTTGATCTTGAAAGATCTATCAAGTTCCCATTCAATCTTCCTTTTTCAAGCTGTTCTGAGAAAAAAGTCCAGAGGAAATTCCAGTTATAAGTACCATGGATCAAGATGGAGTGATGTAGGCTTGTACGATTTTGACGTCGTCTACTGGTCGGTCATCATTGTCACACTCCACTAATCCTACCCTCTGTACGACGGTCATTCCACTACTCACCCGTCCAAAAATAGCATGCTTTCCATCAAGCCACTGCGTAGCGGCAAGGGTGATAAAGAACTGGCTCCCGTTAGTGTCTGGGCCACTGTTTGCCATGGATAAAATCCCGGCCCCTAAAGGCAATATATTATACTGTTCTTGTAATTTAGCATAATTTTATGGTATTCAACTTTGAAAATGAAAATGTACTATTATTTGTAAACTGCACATAAATTCTATTTTGGTTTTTAAATTTTGTTTTGCTTGTTTTTTTTTTCACTCTGTTTTCTTTTCAATCTACACGTACCTATAGGTAGTTATTTATCAATTTAGGTATTGATATCATCTGAAATATGTGTCCATTCTCTTAATTTTGGCAGAATTAACTTCATAATTATGTTTGGCTACTTATTCTTTAAACATATGCTTTGATTAAAAAAAATTAATTGTAAGTAAACTAAAATGTAGAAACAGTCAATATGTCACAAGTGGTGAAAAGTCAAGTCTGAACCGGGACTCGAACCCAGGGCCTCTGGCTTACCATGCCAGCACTCTAACCAACTGAGCTACATGTATTGAGACCCGACATACTGATTGACTTTCACGCACCTGTGAACCCGGTGAGAAATATTTTGTACCTGTGTGCTTCAGTTCATTTGATATTTCGTCATCAAACTCTTTACCATAGATAGAGGCCCCTCCTCTCCCTATAATGGAGAAAATATACCTGGAAATATATTACAGTCACAAAAACCTCTAGAATAAATTAAGAATGCATACAAAAAAGAGCTTCTAAGCGGGAGTCTAGGAACACAGATTTTGAAGATTAAAACTTTTAAAACTTTCATTCATTGAATGACTTGATATAAATTTCAGCACGTGGAGTTTTATTCTGAGATTTCCGCCACTACCTACCCGTGCCTGTTGGATCCCCTCCTTGAATCATGAAATCCTTGATAATTCTGTGAAACTTTGTGTTGTTATAATAGCCCCTCCTGGCCAATTCTGCAAAGTTACGACACGTGCTGGGGGCATGTTTCCAGTAAAGTTCAAGGACAATCTGACCCATTCTGTAGAGGAATAAAGTGTACATGTGTGTGTAAGTTATACTGTAACATTGGCAGATCTAAGAGTTATTAAAAGATAAAGGAGCTGGCATTAAGTCCAGTAGATATAGGTCATAGCCCTGGTTTGTGTGTAGGGGACAGCAACCCTTTGTTAGGCAGAAAACCATGGGCACTGGAAGTTAATTTAATTACTGAGTATTTGCATGTATAAAAAAATACTTTTTTACATCCATTACCATATTTGATGCACAACTCAATATGTAAATTTACTGCCACTGCAACCGCGAAAAATCCCCTTCTCCCCTTTTTGAAATTTCTAGCTTTTATTGTTTTGCTCTGCCATTTACTTTATGTATACATAAAAGGGGGAAGATCCCTTGGCCCCTTCTAACCCTCCCCCCTCTACTTTGTAATGAAAACAAGGAAATTCGGGAGATTGTGTTATGATTACTCTTTGTTACATTTTCGGAAGAATTAAAGTGTACATACGTGGTTTCCAGGGTTACATTTTCGGGCTGCCACGTTTTTGGAGGAATACCTGATGTCGACATAATGATATAAAGCCACAGTTGTTTCAATCTTTCCCTAGCCGGTCTCTGGCTTTGGTTTGTTGGTGAAAGTGAAAGTCGGGATCGAAATACGGAGATCCATGTGGCCGTAACAACATCAATCAAGTTTCAACAGTCAAGTTGGACTTGAATCTGTGTATACTAGGAACAATTTATTGGGCAAGGTAGGAATCTAATATTTTTCGTATCTTAGCATGCAGATGTTATCGTGCAGAGAATATCAATCATATTATATTTTTATTAAATAAACATTTGAAAATCTGTGTCATTGAATCTGACAGCCATCTGGCCATGTGTCATGTGATTTTCAGCTTGTATATACTAGTATATGAATATTGACCATGTTAACAGCAGCTGATACTGTCCAGTGACAGTATAATCTTATAAGCTGCACAGACTTAAACAATCTTATCTCAGGGCTATACTTTATTTCTAAAACATTGGTTTGTTTCCTATATATACTACATGTATATATGAACTGTATAAAGTGTATTACATGTATGTATAATTTTCCTCATCATTGTGTTTGCCTATAACAATACTGCATAATTTTTATCATAATACGTGGAATAATAAAATAGATTCACCTCTGAGAATGTATAAACTATAAAATGATGAGATGTTTTTTATAGGTTTATTAGACGCCTCCACACCATGGGGACGTTGGATGAGGTTCGTAGGATCTGGGCCCGGGCTGATGCTGTTTGTTTTGACGTAGATTCCACTCTAGTGATGGACGAAGGACTGGACGAGCTGGCTAAGTTTTGTGGGGTCGGCAAAGAGGTACAGGAATGGTAAAACAATTTAAACAAGTTTGAAAAAATAATTAAATGCGCTCACTTCTTTATGTTCGTAGACATGTAGAGGTATATACATGTACATCACCAAATGTTTAAATTACAAAACTTAGTTGATACTGTACAAGATATACATGTGTATAGAAATTTTTTTTTTTATCAGTCTTTGTTTTATTTTATCCTTGTAACTTAAAACATACAAGAGTAAGGCCAAAATAAAAAATAGTCTTGTTTCCTGCTACCCGACCTACCCTATTTTTTTTGCACCCGACCTCAATTTTTTTTTTGGCTTTTGGGGAAAAAATTCAAAATTTTAGGAATTTCATGTTTCAAAAGTGAAAAAAAAAATTATACTCAAGTTGTATTACATGAAATACATTTATAAAATATGGACTTACATAAAATTCCACTTGAGTTGTGCATCAAAAAACATAGAATTTCATTTTAAAAGATGATATCTACCTAGCTATGACATGTTTAATTTGGTTTTGTAGTAGTTCATATCCAAAAAATACTGTTGGAAAAAATAAAATAAAATTAAAAAATAAAATAATTTTCCTACCTACCTACCCTATTTTTTTCTGGCTGGTAGCAGGAAACAAGACTATTATTTTTTTTTGCCTAACTGTGTAATTTCTATTATTGAGCACTATACATGCAGTACACAAACCACAGCTAAAATAATCTAGCTGACTCTGGACAGAGGCTTGAGTTGATTATCATTGAGAGACGTACTGCATTTGTTTATTCATTTAATAATTGATTATATTAAATAAGATGCAAATTAGGATTCTTAAATGAAATATGAACATGTTTGTAAGGTGCTGTTGAACCAAGGATAACAAGCAGATTTATTTGGAAACACTTTAAGATTTTCAGTTCAATTAACAAGACAACAATTAGCTAATCGTATTTTTTTCTATAAAGTGTCATTTTTTTTTATAGGACCACAAAGGCCATGGGGGGAGGTGTGTCTTTTAGAGAGGCACTCCAGGCTCGTTTGAATATCGTCAAACCTTCACATCAAAAGCTGGAAGATTTTATAGCACAGCATCCACCAAAGTTCTCTCCACATATCCAGTATGAGTTTTGCTGTAGTCTTATACATGTTATTAGTTAGGCCTGACAAGTGAAAAAGACATAGGGGGTGCTTCTAGGGGCAGAGGCGGTTAAGGCCAAAATAAAAAATAGTCTTGTTTCCTGCTACCCGACCTACCCTATTTTTTTGCACCCGACCCTAAAGTTTTTTTTTAAGCTTTTGGGGAAAAAATTCAAAAATTTTAGGAATTTCATGTTTCAAAAGTGAAAAAAATATATGCTTAAGTTGTATTACATGAAATATATGTTTAAAATATGGACTTTCATAGAATTCCACTTGAGTTGTGCAAAAAGACATGGAATTTCATTTTAAAAGATAATATTGACCTAGCTATGACATGTTTATTTTGGTTTTGGAGTAGTTCATATCATCAGAAAATACCGATTTTAAAAAATAAAATTAAATTAAAAAAATAAAATAATTTTCCTACCTACCTACCCTATTTTTTTCTGGCTGGTAGCAGGAAACAAGACTATTATTTTTTTTGGCCTAATAGGGTTATATGGTATTTCATTTATCCTAGATATTGAGGATCATTTATGAGGGTTGTTTGAAAAGTTTGTGTACAATGTCAATCTTAACTGTTATGATACTGTATTTAAGAAATTTGAAGTAACAATCAATAAAAATTATGTTGAAATGAAAATAATATTATATACTAGGGAAAAAATCAGTAGAGGTATATAAAGAGAATTAATCTCTGTGTTAATTATTTACAGGGAATTAATCTCTGTGTTAATTATTTACAGGGAATTAATCTCTGTGTTAATTATTTACAGGGAATTGATCTCTGAGCTACACAGAAGGAACAGAAAAGTTTACTTAGTGTCGGGAGGATTCCAGAGCATCATTCTACCAGCAGCCAAACTACTCAACATTCCAGCCCAGAATGTCTTCAGTAACAGACTGAAGTTTTACTTTAATGGTAATGTTAGATACCCTGTACTATGTTGGATATGTTGCTTTGTTGATATGATATTATGATGACATAAGCCATTTTTTTTAGATATAAAGCCAAAAAAAATTATATCTTGGTTCTCAAGCCAGTTTTCTCAAAATTATATGCGGGAGGGAGGCATTTTATTAGCTCACCTGAGCTGAAAGCTCAAGTGAGCTTTTCTGATCACAGTTTGTCTGTAGTCTGTCTCTTTCTGTCCATCTGTCTATCTGTTGGAAACAGAAGAAATAAAAGGAAAAAAGGGTGTCAATGAAACTGATGAATTAAGTAATGATAGGGTAAAATGATAGGGAAAAAGCACTGAATGTAAGAATTGTATTCAAATAAGCCAGGATCTCACAGTACATAATACATAACAGGTGCACCATAACAGTGTCTGTCCATTCAGTCATTCTGGAAATTTACAGATTTTCATTTATATACAAGTTTAATATTTCAAAATTTCTCTATCATTTTCAAAATTGGTATGATGTTTTTTAATACTATATATATTGCATTCTCTGTCAATTCTTTATCTCTCTCATAAACAGGGATAACTGGCATGGCCCATCTTCACCTTACTATGGATTATAAACATGTTTTGTTTCACACTTCCAGGTGACTATGCGGGTTTTGATGAGGGTCAGCCAACCTCTTCCTCCGGGGGTAAGGCTGTGGTGGCGGGGATCATAAAGAATGAGTTTAACAGCCAGACCCTAGTGGTGGTAGGCGACGGAGCCACAGACATGGAGGCGGTGCCCCCCGCAGTAAGTACAGTGTATACAACTATATAGATATCAAGGCGGTGCCTCCCACACTAATAATAACATCTAGGCAGTACATGTAGACACCTATAGTGACTGTTAACTTCTAGGCAGTAAGTGTAGACACCTATAGTGACTGTAACTTCTAGTCAGTAAGTGTAGACACCTATAGTGACTGTTAACTTCTAGGCAGTATATGTAGACACCTGTAGTGACTATTTACTTCTAGGCAGTAAGTGTAGACACCTATAGTGACTGTTAACTTCTAGACAATAAGTGAAGACACTTATAGTGACCATTACCTTCTAGTCATTAAGTGTAGACACCTACAGTACCGACCAGACCCAACCTGACACCAAAGCAGTCCCAGAAAGCAGTCCCCGGGACTGCTTTCTAGACACCTATGGGACTGCTGTGGGACTGCTCTGGCAGCTATGGGACTGCTCTGGGACTGCAATGAAAAGCAGTCCCTGTAACTTGGGACTGCTTTCTGGGACTGCTTTGTTCACTCATGTATGACAAAGGTTCTGAGTGACATGATAGCTCCGCCCCCTTGTGTATTCTGAATTTGCAGGCTCCCTGTTGTTTTGTTTACTTGCAGCAGAGAGGAGTTTAAACTGTTTAATAAGCAAGGATTTCTTATAATCTTTTAATAACCTGAGATTACATGTATTATAGTTAATTTACATGTATAGTTTTAGGGACTGTATATTTACACATATGTAATATAAAATATTTTTAAAAATAAAGTTGTTAAATAAGGAAGTCAGAAAGAGATTTTTATTTCTAAAATATATAAAACTACAGGCTCATGTCAGAAAAATATCTACATGTAGATTTATTTTATTATTAAATCTAAAATTAAATACTCAAAATTTTCATTTGGCACTATTTAAAAAATCATTACATTTAGATATAAGATATTTTAATTGAAAAGGCTACACGTTTTACAAGCACCACGCTAAAAGAGTATTACATGCAACCCTCAAATAAAATCTAACAATTTATTTTTTGACAAGAAATAAAATTATGCCACCATTCTTCCGTAACATAAGCAATGTGAACAATTATATGGAAATTAACAGATGAATTAGTTTTTAATTTATAAATAAGTTATTAAAAGAGAAAATCTTTTAAAAAAAATAGATAAACAGTTGAAAACACCGGGAATTGTGATTTATTTCTTTTTTGTTTTGCTTTTGTTTACCTGGCCGATAATGTGTATAAATAAAATGGTATAAACACCTGCGGTTTCAATCGCCTTTGGGCAGAAAATCAATCATGCATGTTATTTGGGTACACATATCAGTGTTACACATCATTGAACATATGCTGCTCAATTAACAATGACCCTATAATTTCAATCTATATAAAAAATGTAATGCAAAAAAAAAAAAGATAAATGAAATGTGTATAAATTTCTTTCAAGATTAATTAATGTTGAACATAATCCATTCTATACTGGTCACTAATACAATTTACAAATAAAACAATAATTTTTAAATTAACATGTCAGTTGAGAATAATCAATACTGAAAAATATTACTTGGCAAAATTAGCAACGAATTTTTTAAAAGCCCTAATACTTTAAAAAAAAATGTCTTTAGAGTATCCCGATAGTGTGGAAATCGGCCATGATCTATAATGATTAGATCTATTGAAAACTAATTCTGGTGAAATATAATTAATTCAATTTTAATTTTCTGTATAGAAAATAAATATGCGAGCCAGTATCAATCACAAAAAAACCCCAAGATAATTGTGATTAAATATTCATGTGACAGTGTAATTCATTTATGACAACTACTTTAGGCAGTATATGAAGGTGTGTAAGCTTTTTTTCTTCAATAAATATTATTTCAAATTGTTTAACTTGCGGGTACTGCTCATACATGTAAATAACCTTTGCATTGAAAGGATTCCTGGCATACTGCTCAGAAAAAAATTCAGCTGCCTTTTATAGTTCCAATGTTTATTGGAAATCTCATTTCTGAGTAATCCCCGCCCATGAAATTAATAAACCCCGCCCACTGGGACTGCTGGGACTGCTTTTTGGGACTGCTAGTGACTGCTACTTCTGAGACCGCTGGGACTGCTGGGACTGTTACTCTGGGACTGCTGTGGGACTGCTCTGGGACCACTGTTACCTCTAGTCAGTAAGTGTAAACACCTATAGTGACTGTTACTGCTTTGTGTCAGGTTGGGTCTGGTCGGTACTGTATAATGACTAATTTCTAGCAAGTAAGTGTAGACACCTATAGTGACTGTAACTTCTAGACAGAAAGTGTAGACACTTATAGTGACTGTAACTTCTAGACAGAAAGTGTAGACACCTATAGTGACTACTGTAAATCTGGAAATTTTTATGTCGATTTATTTTTGCAAATTAAAGTAAAAAAGCCGTAGAGTAATTTTTACATTTCAAAATTTTGCGAATTGTCATTGGCGCTAAAAATATAAAGCACTTAAGATTTTCATATCAGTTTATGTTTCAAATTAGTTAGAACAGTTAGAATACCACTAATTTTATTACTATAGCAAAGTGGCAAAGAATTTCAGAATCCTTCCGAAACAATTTTGAAGAATACAAAAGGATTTGCACTGAAAATAACTTCCAAATTATTTATAAATGAGGTTGTGTATGCCTTTAAACCTAAAATATAATCCAGATGAAGATGAAAATTTAACTACCGTAAATCTGGAAATTTTTACGTCGATTTAATTTTGCGAATTTGGGTCAAAATGGTGTTGATTAATTTTACGTTTCAAAATTTTTCGAATTACCACTGCTTTGTTTACATTTTCTTATTGTAATTTATTTTTAAGAAAAATATTTTTGCGAATGCAATGAACTCACAAATTTGCTAAAAATTTATCTACAGCAAAAATTTCCAGATTTACGGTAGGCCTAATTTCTTAACGTTTTTTGAACTTTTTTCTCATGTAAAAAACACACCATGTTTAAATTTGGAACTCTCTAGTATATGCCGAGTTTTCACCTTTGTTTATTTATTACATAATTAGTTAGTTAAATGATTGGTCTCTCTTTCTTGGCAAAATAATTAAATAGAAACATACTGCCTCAGTGTCTGTCAAACCATGGGACGATATTGAATATAATGAGGGCAATTTACACACAAGGGTAATTAGCTCCTAGTGTAAACAGGTACCAGTGCCTACAGACACCTCTTCACTGAGTTAAAAATAGACACCAGCTTTCAGCAAAATTTTTGTTTACTTGTTGATTTTTTTAAAGATAAATATTTTTGCGAATGCATTGCACACGCAAATTTGCTAAAAATTTATCTACAGTAAAAGTTTCCAGATTTACGGTATTAACTTCTAGTTAGTAAGTGTAGACACCTATAATGACTAATTTCTAGCAAGTAAGTGTAGACACCTATAGTGACTGTAACTTCTAGTCAGTAAGTGTAGACACCTATAGTGACTGTAACTTCTAGTCAGTAAGTGTAGACACCTATAGTGACTGTAACTTCTAGTCAGTAAGTGTAGACACCTATAGTGACTGTAAATTCTAGACAGAAAGTGTAGACACCTATAGTGACTGGTTAACTTCTAGTCAGTAAGTGTAGACCTATAGTTAGGGGTGGGACGATACACAGATCTTGCGATACAATACGTATCTCAAAAATATAACACAATACAATAGGTATCTCGATATTATCATAAATAATAAAACTTAGACTATTTTGAAAAAAAAAAATGTATTTTGTTTTATTGTTTGTTTTGACAAATTATTCTTTATATCAAATCATGTGCTTTGAAATTAGTATTTGAAGTTCATCAATTTTATTTACTAGAAATTTACAAAAGCAATAACTTGTACCTATTCATTTGACAAATGTCTATAAACAAGTTGATTACAAGAACACTGACTAAAAAATTCATTTTAAAAAACAGGTAGGTTATTGATAATTGCTGAAAGTTAACCAAGTTTGCAAAAAAATAATAATCCACAATTTGTTTCAAAATTTCAAATTCTTGAAATTAGAGAATCTGTGCTTCGTTATGAGCTGTTGGTACCACTGTTGTGGAAACGATACTTTCTGTGTATTACACGCTTTTAATTACATACTGAATTTTACTTAAAAGTGCTTAAAAGTGAATATGATTTACCCTTTATCTATGACTTTTTATTTCTAAAGCATGTTTTCAATATCAATATCATCTCTTTGTTTCGTACAAGCGGCCATTTTCCAAGGATAACTATCATTTTTCAATTTTTTGGTTAGTTGTTTGTATATATCGTTTCATTTTAATATTTTTAATATGTGTATCATAAACCGTATCATAGAAGAAAATATCTGTATGTATCGGTGTTTCGGTATATCGTCCCACCCCTATCTATAGTGACTGTGAACTTCTAGTCAGTACATGTAAACACCTATAGTGACTAACTTCTATTCAGTAAATGTAGACACTTATAGCATGTATAGAGACTATAATTTCTAGTCAGTAAGTGTATAGGCACATTTAGTTAAGTAGGTATCAGAGTGTTTATTATAGTCATTTTCATTTGACAGGATGCTTTTATTGGTTATGGAGGTAACGTGATCAGAAGTTCTGTAAAAGAGAAGGCTGCCTGGTTTGTCACAGATTTTAGAGAGCTTATTCAGGCACTGGACAGCTAAAGATGGTTAATTTTAGGATATTATATTACAATTGAAAAAGGTGATGGTGCAATGGATAAAATGTATGTAATATTTAAAAGGCATTTTCTTATAAATATAATTGTTATACCAAAAATTCAAACAAATAAGGACAGCATAATATTTTTGTTTTATATGGATGTGATTTTACATGTATGTTAGCAAGAGCATTAAAAAATTCTCAGTTTATCTCTCTAAGTTTCAACAGTTTCAATGAAGAATTGTTTGTTTTGAATTTTTTGGCAGAAATAATTACAGTGAACTGTTGCTGGTAGGAGGTTTGTAATCAACCTGATAAAAAAATCTTTAAACCTTTAATGTTTAAAGTCTGTTTTACATATTTTGTCTATTTGTACAATCTTGTGATACAGTTTACTCTGAAAGTACAAATGTAAGTCTCTAATTTAAGGACAAGGATTTTTTAATATATATTCATGTATGTACGAGTATATTCCATATATCTATGTTATTAAATTATACAGAAAGGGGAATTGTGTATTGGATTAAATTATATACTTTTACCTAAAAACCATCTGACATTCCTTTTTTTAAACAAATACTAGAAATACTGGCACATCATTTGCTTTAGGTTATAATTTTTACACATGGATTAGGTACAAGGGTTTGATACTGAAACAAAACAAGTGTTCTTTTTAAGTATCAGGGTGTATATGATTTTTTTATAAGAGAATTGTTTAAGCTTAAATCTTTGGTTTCTTTTTCAATTGTAATACTTTGTGAATACTGGTATGTCTTAGAAAAGTATTTTTATTTGTAAAAAAAAAAAAAAAGTCAAAGAACCCTTGGGGTATGGAACTTCCAAGGGGGAGGGGGTTCCCATCCCCAAGCACCTACACATTTGCTTTAGGCTATAATTTTTATACATAAATTCACAGGTTCAGGACATTTTCAGATTTTCTCTTCATTCATAAAAATTAATCTTGGAAATTTTCTTGTTTAACTGGTAGAAAACATCAGTCAGTAGATTTGTAGTTGGTCACCTTATTATCATTTCTTGACAGGTCTCAATCATGAAAACTGTGTTTAAAAAAAAGAATTAAAACACAATGCATTTAAATTCGGTTTTAGAAGGAGCTGATACAAAATTAAAAGAATCACACAGGAAATGGATTTTTATAAATAATTGTATAGCCATTAAAATGAAAATACAAATTTGATATTTTAATGATGGTGATTACTTTAAGTTTTTGCAATGTTATAAATACATACAATGTACCTGTACATTTAGAAGTGAAGTTTAAAGATTCACAAAAATAAGTTTACATTTTTTTTTATTCCTTACCCTCATTAAAAAAAATGTTAGATCAGAACTGGGAAATTTCACTCCATGTACTCAGTTTGTCTGTACATGTATGTCAAGAACACAAACAATCTTTAAAACTGTATAAATTTACAGTCGCACACAGACTCGCTCTACTGGATCAAAAATGATATGGGACGTTTCCTCGTCATATGTGCACTGCCCCTGGTGGACAAGTCGTTCATTCTCACACACCACAAAATACGGGGTCCGCTCCCGGCCCGACCAGGCGTTGATTCCGTCTGGTCGCCCCTTACAGCTGGGGAACCTCACCTCACACGGAATACAGTGGGCCGAGTGTTTACAAACATTACTACTGTACTCACCTGAAAATAGAAAATTACACTTTGAATATATTACTACCAGTTTTTGGGTTTTTGTTTTTTTGGTAATTTTTCACATATTTATTTTTTGGTCTATAGCTAGCAACCAGTTATAGAGAGGCGAGAGAGAGAGAGAGAGAGAGAGAGAGAGAGATAAATGTACTGAAAAAAATTACTGTAAAATCAACAATTTTTAAAGGGGTTTAATTTATTTTCTTTTTGTGGTATAAGTTGCAAATTACTGATTTAAGTTTATAACAGTTACTTTAAATAAAACTCTCCTTGTCCTGCTATTATTAAAAGAATTAACAAATCTGACTCCACAAAAATTATTGATTTAGGTTTATAACTTAAAAAACTCTCCTCAATCCTGCTATTATTAAAAAAAATTAACATAGTCATGGAGTAAGTAGTTGAACTTTGTACATGAAGCTCTCCACCGACTAAAGATGGTGTCTTCATGTGAGTGAAAAACCGAGGTCTTGAGTATAGGTCAAAATTTGTACATGTAGCTCTCCACCGACAAAAGGTGGCGTCTTCATATGAGTGAAAAATTCTCGAGAGGGACATTAAACAACAAACAAATAAAAAACATATGCATAGGAAAAAAAATCCAGAACTTTCTAAATTCTACATGTTCAGCATCCCTGTACTTACATGGATCTTTGGGTTCCCATCTGGTCCCACATTTCACAGATAAAGCGGTACCACACTGTTTTGTATCTGGATTCCAAAGTGTTGGGAAAGGACATTCGAACACTCCCACAATTCCTTTAGTGACCATGGAGCAGTCCACGTGCTGAGCACAACTGCCCGGATGAGGAAGTATGGCGGTGGGCGTGTTTTTACACATTTCTGTATAGAGATTGACGATTGGTTTCTGTGTGGTGGGTTTGGGAGTTGGGGGCGTTATTGTCGTAGCTTTCTTCTCTGACACCGAAGACTGTTTCTTTGAACCTGCCCAATGTATCATTTTAAACTGAATGATTTTAAGTATTCGGCTGACAAACTGAAATGCCATGTGACAGTACTACCGGTATATATGGTTGATTTTGTTACTATTGGTTGATAATTGAGACATGAAAGACAATGATGTCTCAGATTAATGTGTTTCCAATATGTTGACACGGTAAAATGGCTAATTTCAAGTTAGATTACTATAATGTTTAACTGTAGCGCAGAGATTTTTTAAAATTTTTCCTGATCATAATTACACAATGTATGACTAAGAATATACAAAACTTCATGAAGTATCGCGTTCAAAAAGTTATATTTAGCTAAACACAAAACAACAATGCTAATCTTGGAAAGAACAAAAAATTGTAACCATCATGAAGTCCAACAAAGAGCTACTTACAGATATCCAGGTAGGACCCGGCCGGTACACAGGCCCTCATCATGTGATTGACTACCGAGTTGGAGGGACACTTGAATTCCGCCGGTTTCCCCACCACACACATCCAGAATTTACTGCAGTCCCCGGGGTCAGCTCTCCACATCCCAACGTCACATTGGGAGGGGAGTCCAGACACGGCCTCCAGGAAAAATAAAACACACAGGTATAACTGCATTGTCAATGGTTCTCCCCGTAATTCTATACCTTAATTGGAGGTCTCGGTAAACGTTTCCTATATTTTATATTTAGTAAGAAAAAGCTTGCCCTTTGTGTCTTCGGATGCAAGAACAAGGACTATAGTAAGCTATAGGAAGTAAGAATAAGCTATTTTATAATTGGATACACTTTAAAAGCTTGAGGTATCCCCTCTTCTTGCGTGATCAAATGAAGAGGCACGGATGGTGTTGTTAAGGTAAATGGCCGGGTAGGTTGTATAGCGTAGGTAATAAATACGGCCAGTTTATCAGAGTCCCCCGAGATTCCTCCAATTCCTCCCCGATCTTTGATCAAGTGGCGGGCGACATTGGAGGAGGATAAACGCATGCGCCTTTGTTTACCCTGAGATACTCGTCTGCTCCTCTCCGACTTCGGCGATATGTATCTTTAATGTTAACAGGGGGAAAATTGTGTTTCCAGGGCCTCATGTTTGCGGGAATTCCGTTAGAGTGACACTGTTAATCTGTAAACAGGAGAGAGGGCTGATAAACTAATGTTAAGATTCTGTCATCTTTGATAAGGTTATGTAATTATTTTGTTTCCTGATTGAATTCTCGTGTGTCCTTGTACGACACGGCTACTTTTTCAAAATATAACACTGACCATTTCTCCCAATATTTTTTCTACTAAAAAGTAGAAAAAACGGCTTTAGGAAATTGATTACCCACTCGTAGGCGAACCTGTGCCCAGATTTCATTTGACCCTTTATTATTCAGGTAATAATAATTATTTGTGAGTATAGAATTAGTCAATTATATATTTTTTTATAAAGTTAAAAATGAATTCAGTAGAGTTAAAATATTATAGTAAGTAGTGTGATGAATCATATATGCATTAACCGGGTACATTTATTCGCAAACGGACATTTTCTTGTACGATCTTTCCGTAAGTTACATGTACGTATTCAAGGTGTAAGTAACGTTTTCATACATTCAGTTACGTATTCAAACCGTAAATAATTTGTGTATTCATAACGCCAAAAGACTTGTTCATACCGCAAGTCACGTATTCATATCGTATGTTACGTGTTTACACCGTATTTACAGCGGTTTTTTTTTTTTTTTTTTTTTTTTGAATCATGATCAAGTTTCATAGAAAATTAATAACGATCAGAAATTCAAGAAAGAGGAATTCGAAAAGAGAACGTTATATGCAAATTTTAAAACATAGGTATAAAAAAAAAATGAATTCACAAACATTATCAAGCTACAATTATTTAAGCATTAGACTAGAATGACGAGACAAATTTGCAAGTCAGAGGTGAAATATTCCAAACTTGAAAACAAATTTCTTTTGAAGGTGTTTGTTATCAAACGCGATGACAGTTTCTCTGCTTAAGTAATCAGACTTCTCGACTAAGACATCAAATAAGTCACCAAAACCGGATGTCAATAAAAGGAGAGAGGGCGCTGTCGTTTGCACGTCGTTACGTTGCTGGAAACGAAATCCTGGTACATGTATTTTATCAACATGTTCAGATTGTCAGGCCTGTATAGGGAGCGATTTCAGTTTGGGGAACTAAATTTCAGTTTGGAATCACTACGTAACCAAACCAGAATTCCATGACAAGCGGAAAAAAGTCACTGGACATTAATATATGGTATATATAGAGAAATCACAAGCAAAAAATAATTACTTTCTCTCCCCCCCCTTTAAAGTATGCAATTTATATGCAAAATTATACCCCTGGCCCCGCTCCTGTTACTTCATGTATACTTACATTTTATTTATATTTATTTATTTTGTTGTAAAAACTGTAACCAAAAGTTGCATGGTTAAACAGCTTTTAAAAAAATCATATTGTAGGCTAGATAGCAAATATAAATTGTGAATAATATATATTAATTTAAACTTACAGATTGAAAATTTTAATTGAAAGTCTACAAGTATATTCAAAAAAACCAATTTAAAGTTTAAAATGATCAGAAATTTTTTTATTACTGTATTATTTTTAACCTCAGATTGGAAATTATTAATGAAAGACAGTCTGACTCGAGGCTACACAGCTATTGCTAAAAAACCAGAAATTTTCACAAGGATTTAAAAAAAGGTCAGTCCTTAATTCTTATTTTCCAAACTTCTTTGCTTGCACTTTTCATTCAGTTCAGTTTATTCTTTAAAAGCTTTATAGGCACTTCAAATTGTAATGAGTGGATCTATTTCTATTTAAATCAGCACATGGGTGTAGAGATTCGTCATCCTCGATCAAAAGTTCAATAACTTTAACAATGTCCACATTCCTTATCATTTCATATGTATTCACTTCATATCGCGGGCTTTGTCAGGAATGATTAAGTCGATGTTAATGACCAGATCCCAATTTCATCGATTGAAATTAAAATAGAAATAATAAATCGTTTTGTAGCTGTTGATTGATAACTTTTTGATCATCCCCTTCTTTTATGGGGTCAGAAAGAATTTTCATTTATGAATGAGATTTAACATTGCTTAGTGCATGTTTTTCACAACGTGATGTTTTAGATTATAAAACCTTGCAATGCGTAACTGCATGTGAGATTGACATCATACATGTACTAGACATGGAGTAAGAAAATATAGTTCAGGTAACAAAAAATGACGAAAATTATCATTTTTTGCTCTTTGGAAGGAGATGCTCCGCTTTGCGATGCACTCGTTTTTATAGTCATGTTCTTGAATATAAATATATAATTATGCAAATTATAATATTGAACATACAGAAGTCCTCGTCGTTGCAAACCACTACCAAACTATTCTGAGCGATAGAAAAGTTTCTAGCGGATTCCCAACCGTGGCCCCAGATTATGAGAAGTCAAACCGCATGTTCAATAGGGAGAGCGAAAAAACTTAACCCACACCCTTTCCCAGAATCAGGCGATTATATGAAAATGTAAATAAAAAAAAATTGCCAAAAGAAAATATTGGATTTCCACTGTAGAAGAGAGGCATTAAATGACTTTTTGTTCTTAAAATTTTACAGGAAGTAATTAATTTCAATTAGAAATTTTAAAAGGTTATAACATAGAAATGTCACGCTTTAAATAATTAAATCGGTGTATTTTATACTGAGCTAATTTGTTTTCGCCTCGGGAACACTGTGGTTTAATTTATGCATAAAGTTTCTTTTTATAGACACACTTAATGTTTCTTTTGAATTTTTAATGAATTTCCTTCGTATTTATAAAATAATATTGTCATGCAAGTTATTTTGATTTTGATTTTCTTTTGCTTGGTTCTAGATCTTTGAAAAAAAAATAACATGCCCGCATGTAAAAATCCCACAAATCTACATTTTGCCTAATTTCTTTTTTCATAATAAATGTAAAAGATTAATTGTGTTTAAGTTCATTGTGCTTAAAAGGAAATTGATTTAAAAAAACAAAAAACAATACAGTCCATACTTGATATAATTTATTTTGACACACAAAAAAAAATTGAACAAAGGTAATGCCAAAATAATGTTGATTGAGTATAACTTTGTTCTTTAATTAGGTCAGTAATATAAAATATCTTATTTTGCCACCGTAATCAAAAATTTGGGTATGCATGTGTATAGCTTTTGCTCTGTCCGTCTGTCTGTTCATCCGTGTTTCCGTAAAAAACTTTAACCCTGCCCATACCTTTTGAATGCATGGGGCTATGGCTTTCATATTTCATAGGTGCAAAGTATTCCTTGTGATAATACATTTGTTTATCATCAATTTGACCTCTTGACCTTAGAGTTTGACCCACTTTTACAAAAAAAATTCCAAACGTTAATCTTGGCTATAACTTTTGAACAGTTTGTGCTAGAACTTTCATTCTTCATTAGTATTCATTGTGACAAATTCTTTCAAAGGGTATAAACATTTTTGACCTTTTGAATTTGACCCTAGAGTTTGACTTACATTTTAAAATAACTTTAACATTGGTCATAGCTTTTGAACTTTTAGAACAAGGATAGAGCTTTCATATTTCACAGGTGTATTCCTTGTGACAAGACCTTCCTTTGGGTACCAACAATTTGACCTTTTGATCTTGACGTTGGAGTTTGACTTACATTTGAGAAAGTTTAACCATCATTGTAAGCTGCTGTACGGGGGCATCAGTGTTTCACAAACACATCTTGTTTTTCTGTAATTGAGGGTTTGCAAATGGTTTACAGAACAACATAAAATGCGAAAATGATAACGGTTACTTCATTAAAGAGGGGCACAAAAGCACTGGATTCAACCACATCTCTTTCTTTAATGTTTATTGAATTTAAATTGATAAATAAAGAGAGAGAAGAAAAAAAATCAATTAAGCAATTTAAAAAACATAATTTAAACATAAAGATGCACCACAAGTTAATTTTTTTCTCTTTTTATCAACTTATCATATTATGAAATTCGAATATGCATTGAATATATTGTATAATACGTGACGAGATGGTTCATCGCTTTGTGTAAAGATAAAGTGTGTCGACTCATTATTTAATTACAATTAAATCTTTGACACTCCTAGGACGAAACTTGTCGTCTGAGGTTGGATCAACCGCCGAAAATTAATTTACTTTTCCATGTATATTTAGTTGTCAAGGGATATCACGACTTATTTCCGTCTAAATGAATAAATTTTCGGTTTTATGCTGTTTTGTTCTTTTGTGTACTGCTGTAAACACAAACGTGTTTTTAGGGCTTTAAAAAGAAACGAACACAACATTTAAGATTTAGATTATCCGCCAGTCCTAAAATGCACTTGGTAGAGTTGGGGACACTTGATAAAATTGTTTGAATAAAAATTTTTGTCAAAGGAAAAATGTTAATTATGGAGATTTTCTCTTATTTATTTCCATAACATACACAAACGGTAATTGTTTCGACTCCTTCAGATACTGAGAGAGAAAAAGCTCTTCTTTTATCAATATGATAAAATAATGGATATAACAACGCCAGCATATTTCACAGATACCATGTATTAAATGATTTATGTTTACTTATCTTACACAAATCACTGACATATGACTGAAATACATGTACTGCCAACTCGACTAACCAATAATCAATCATGCAATCAATCAATCGATCCATCGATCTTACACAAATCCAGAGCTGTAAGCAGCCGCGCATGACAGGGAGCTATAACGTTTTGAAACATACTCTCCACCCAAAATCACACATTCGTAGCATTAATCTGTATTGTAACAATATCTAAATAACGTGGTCTTACTTCGCTTTTCATATCTTGAAATAAACCCCTCAGATTTGATTAACAGAACAAATATACAAACGCTGATAAAACAAAATTCAATAATTTTATACAAAACAATCAATAAAATTAATAAATAAATTAATACTGTTATCACTGAAAAATGGACGAAAACAACACAGCAACGAAAGCTCTCAAATTTTGATACATTTTATGTATTCTACACTAGCATTCTCTTTTAGTCACATTCCCATTTTAAAACATTCACCAAATTTCCACTTTTTTCTCTAGATGAACATTATGCCCTTCGCTTTGGTATGCGTCTTGGAGGTTCTCGCCTCTTCTTTTTATCCTGAAAAAGAAAGTGATCCAAAATTTTCAAAAAATGCGCTAGTGCCGCTTTGCTACTGTGGTAGTGAAGCTATTGCGCATGCGTTCACGCCACATTGGACATTGCGAACTGGGACAGTTTTGATAAGCTTTGCGAAATAGAGGGTCCAGCGCTCTGACTAAGGCGTGATGATGCTAAACTGTTTTGAAAAATAAATCTGTTATTTAGTAATGCTGTGCTGGCTGTTGTCGGTGGAAAATTGTAAGTGCTGAGCACGGTAGGCGTGGGGGATTGCAAATAGCGACTGTTACCCACAGCGTTTTGGTGAGTTTGGAATCGCGGGTTGATATATGCCTGTGTCGGATTGACGCTCATTAACTGCTGCATATTCCGTTTCTGGAAAAGTTGATGTTGCATGTTATTGGACTGCTGAGTTGGGGAGGGTAGTTGAGAATGAAATCCTTGAATATTGCTTAGAGATATTGGTTGTTTTTGTTCTGGGTGAGTAAATGAACCCTGCATTTGTTGATGTTTAAATTGTTTCTGCTGCTGTTGTTGAACAAGTTTTTGCCTATGAGAATTCTGAAACTGATTTGGAACATTTGTCTTTTGCTGTTGATGATACTGTGGTTGATTTGGATGTTGTGATTGATGTTGTTGGTGGGGCTCTATTCTTTGCTGCTGGTGTTGCTCTGCGTCGGGAGTTTTGTGTGAGAATGTTTTCTCAGCTTGTTGCGCATTATGATTCGCTTGCTGATTTGCCTTTGGCTCAAATGCTTCATTTATTCCAAGAATGTGTTTGGTATAGCGCTCCATTGCTCTCTCGGATTTCGAGTGTATGCTTTGCTGCGCAGGAAGCTGAGAGGTCTTTATGTCCGCTATTTTTTCGCGCTTTGCGTCTGCTACCACCACCTCTCTCCTGAAGGGATTATTTTGAAACGCTCTACCTACCTGGCTATTTCTGGGTGGTGTAGGTCGGCTTGGTGGATGTTTTTGACCTATTGCTTGTCGAACAGTAGGAGGTTCATTGTAAAGTTGGGGTTGGGGATAAGGTCCAACTGGAAGTTTTTGGATTGGCTGAGGTCCATGACTTGGTGCTCTTTGAATTGGTTGAGGATATCTTGGATTAGGACGTTGTGGCTGGGGTGGACCTTGTTTTCTGTATGGAATAGGCTGGGCCGGTGGAGAATTTGGAAATGGAGCAGGCCTTGGTGGATTTGGAATCTGAGGCATATTTTTGTGACGAATTGGCTGTGGTACATTGTGGACCGGTCTTGTCATAGGGGCTGTAGGAGGCCTGTGTTGCATTTGTGCAGGCGGGAGAGGTTGCACTTGGGGTGCTTGAGGGTATGGCTGTCTCTGCTGATTAGGATGTGGATGTGGAGCCTGTCTTTGAATGGGTGGTTGTGGAACCACTGGTTGTCTTGGTATATGCTGAGGTGGTTGAACTGGTGACATTTGTTGTTGTCTTGGTGGACGTCTTCCAGGTTTAGCCCTGACTGTATGCTGAAAACTAGAAGGCGGTTGTGCTTGAGTATACTGAGGCTGAGGAAGATTTGGATATTGCACTGGTGGTGACTGATTTATTTGTGGATTAGGAGTGTTCGGTGGTTGTGCTCTCATTTTGCCTTGCATTTCATTTATGAATGTCTGCAATGAATTGGGGTTCTGTGGTGGCGGTTTATTTTGACTTTGTGGTGGATTATATGGTGGACCTCGTCGTTGAGGTGGTATCTGTTGTGGCACATGAGGTGGTTGAGCACCATAGGAGCTGGGGCCTTGCTGTGGAGGATATTGAGCCGGTGGTGGACGATTAGGTGGACCAAAGTTTTGAGGTGGACGCTGAGGAGGAGGGTTGTATTGTGGTTTCTGTGGAGGAGGTTGGTACTGTTGTTGCTGGGGTGGAGGATTGTTGACTGGAGCCTGTGTCTGTGGTTGATTGGCATGTGGTGTATGTTGAATTGGCATCTGAGATTTGGAGGTGTGAGGTGGATTTGTATGATGGCTGGCTGGTCCAGTTGGTGGATGTGGCTTGCCTTGAGGTGGTGCACTTGGTGGCTGGTTGATATGTGGAGTATGCTGGGCGGGTTGTTTCTGTGGTGCATTGTTTGAAGATGGAGCCGCTGCAGATTGTTGATTATTCTGATTTTGAGGTTGGTTGATATGAGGCTTTGGTGTCTTTGACTGAGCAGGAGGTTGTTGATTATTGGTTGGCTTATTGTTTGCATTTTGCTGTGGAGGTTGATTTGCTTGAGGCTGATTAATATGAGGTTTGCTCTGTTGTTGTTGTTGTTGTTGTTGTTGTTGTGTACTTTGTGAACCAGTTGGTGGTTCAGCGTTGTTATTATTTGACTGAGGAGGCTGTTCTACTTTCTTTGCATGGCGTATTTGTTTAACAATTTCACTTTTTCCCATTTCTCCTCGGTGCATGTGATGAACAAGTCCCATTTCAAAGTCAATTGGACGGCCACACGTATGGAAAGCTTCATCATATATTTGTCTTTTACCAGGTTCGGGGTTTATGCATCGTCCATGGAAAGCCACTCGTCCAGCCTGACAGACAACATAGAACGGTGTGTTCTCACGTCCTCTCCAAGTATTAATTCCATCGGGAAGTCCAGCACAAGTAGCATATCGAATGTGACAGGGAGCACAGTGAGCATTTCTACAAGACTGGGCAAGGTAGTCACCTGAAAGATACAATTGCTTGAGTTCAATAGTCAGAAGATTCTAAACAATCTACGTAAAAAAAACTTAGTAAGCTGACAATATGTTACTTAATAGTGCTACTTACATGGATCAAGAGGCATTTTCCTTTGACCACAATTGACAGTTGTGTAGTATTCACAACTGCCAGTAACGGTGTCATAGACCGTGGGATAAGGACACTCCCTCAGGTGCTTTCCCCACCAGTCTTCCTTAGGGTCGGCCCCACAGTCATAGTACTGTGCACAGCGGGTAGGGTGGGGAAACCGCTTGGTGGATCCCGGTCTACAGGTAGGCCGCCAGGTGGATTCGCTGAAGGGTGAATAGTGCCTGGTCCCAGGTGACCTAGCCCCTGGATCACCCTGTGGTGCCTTCTGAGGTAATGGGTCTTTGTTCCCTGTCAAGATATGTGTATGTCATTAACTGCTTAATCAATATTCATAAGTATATGTTTTATGTATTTCAAAATACTGTGGTTCGTCAATTTTATCAAACTTACAGGAGTCTTAGAATTTTGATTTTATTAATTTTTCTAAATTATGTATCTGCTTCTGCTCAATCATTGGATCATTCATATTTCTTTGTAAGAGAATGTTTTTGAAGTAGCATAAATATTCCCTCCCTAAAAATGTGATGATTAAACACGCAGCATTAAAATGCTAAAAACAAGGAAATAGATAACAATCGAGGCAGTTTTAGCTTTACCATAGTTAATATCCGGACGTGCATTACCATATTTGTAACTTATTACTTATGTAGCTGTCAGTGTATTATAACATCACTGTAGGTATTTGTAACATGTTACCTATGTTCTAGTCATTGTAAAATCACGTTAAATATCTTAAAGTGTCATACGTCTTTCAAGCTTTTCTTTTCAGAGACAAGTTAGTCACTCTGTTGTCATCCGTACATATTCTTTAGGAAAGTAATTCCAAATATTAATTAGAATGAAATAAGAATTCTTAATTAAAATTTATGGGTTCAAAATTGTGTCTAGATCAGCTTTAATATCATTCAAAGTAGCTGAATTTTTTTTAAATTAAAAGATAATTATTTTCTTTATAATAATATATTTTTAGACTACATGTATATCAAGGTGTCTGCGTTGCTGATGCGCATTTCTTGACTTTAAGCTAATTAAACCACTGTCTGCTTGTTTTGTGAGCTCTTAATGAAATTAAATTTACATTTGCTGTCTTCTCTTGAAAATTGTCGAGAGAAATTGTGACAATATAATCCATCATTTCATGTCAAAAGTATCTATTTAATTCTCTTTTTCTTATGAACACAATAAATAAGTTAAATAAAATTTTAGTAAAAAATATTTTATATAGAGTGTGAGCTTCTTTAAAAAAAAAGCGAAATTTTGTTTCCCTAAACACATTAGAAATTCTCCATATTTTATCACTATGATAGAAAAAATGGTTTTCTATTTTGAAATTATTTAATTTTTTTTACTTTATAGACTTTCTTAAATTCTTTATTAGAAGTAGTTAAAAGAAGGACGTATTTTTATTCATACTAGCTTTTAATTAAAGACTTTAGGATTTTTAATTGGATATTAAGGAAAAGTACCATTCTAAAGAGAAATTTTATTTTCAAACTTTTTTGATATTGTTTCAAAGAATTTCTTTTTAATCCCATTCCATTTAACACAATCATTTAGTTCACGTATTGCTATGTTCTTTATATATAGCTTTAGTTGTTCAATGATCATAGAAAACGGTCTGTAAAATTTTGAGTGAAGTGTTGGCATTAAGAACAAAAAAAACACGAATTATTTAAGAAATGATACCCTGAGTGCACTTGTCTTCGGGAGATCCCACGGGAACACATGATCCTATTTCCTGGTTCCACACTGTGTTGGGGCCACACTGTAACCTCCAGTCCTTGCCCTGCCCACAGAGGTAATACACCCGACAGTCCGACGGATCAGGCCGGAACTGCTGTCCAAGAACTCCGTCACAAGGCTTCTGGGAAACAACAATTTCCAAGCACACCGAAAAAAACAGGACAAAAAATCCGAAACGAATCATGGTTAAGATTGCGTCGTATCCAGTGTGATGTCGCACATACGTCCGACTAGTCGGAGCAACTCTGCCAAATGATTGCCAGTTAATGTAATTGACAGTCCCTTGTGGATTGCATATAACTTTTTTTATGAATACATTATATCCTCCTTGTTTAACATAATTTAAGCTCCATTTTTATGTAAATGAGATGTCATGTCAGGATGACGTCACAAATGTGGCAGGGAAGCACTAAAGTCCTGAAGTTTGTTGTATATAATTGAAATATAGTGATAGGTATTTCTGAGTTTTATAAACATGCATGTTATACAGTGGATGTCAAACATAGAGTCTTGAAGTTGTCAAGACAAGAATCATTAATAAGCATGTGGAATTTCTTGCTTCATACAATTTACTGCACTGTCACGCGATGTAAATATACGAGATTTTAATGACATTAGGTACACCAAGGCATGATTTTATATTACTAATTGTAATATCTGACAATTAATTTACTATCTTTTACATGTCTTGAGTATAGGTATTTAATTATATATTCTGGAACCTTCACATACTATGGATTTGGATTTTCTTTTCTTTTTAAAATTATTTTTAGGACCTGCTTTCAAGTATTTTTCTGAGTCATTCAGTGATTGGTTAAAGCAGTATGATACAAAATAGAATGTCATTTAACCAGTTTTACAGATCCTTCTTAGCTATGATAGAAAAATGATTTTAATTTTTTTTAATACAATGACTAGTCCTTGGTCGAATTCTGAGTTTTTGCAAAGTTAGGTACTTTTTTGTTTTGATTTATTTAGATACTTAGTTTTAACTGACTGAACAAGAAAACTGGCTGGTGTTATGGTAGATTGGGTTACTTACTCTTAATGGCATCTGATCCAATTACTGCCTTTTCCAAAGTACTTGTAATTGTTTGCAATTATTTCAATTTGATGTTTTGTTTTAATCGATTTGGAATATGATCACTGTCCGTGAAATAATAATCCAAACATTTTTATTCATTTCTAAGCAATTATTTATTTTTTGATATAACATACATACAAAAAGAAAATTGTGTCATCTTATTCTTACCTTTAGATTAGTTAATAAATTTATTATTTTTGAATGCATTTATTATATCTGTTTTTTTTTTACTTTAATTTTTCTGCTTAAAATGTTCAATAAATATTCTCAGAAAAACATTTTTCTTTATTTTTGTTCAAAGTCTGATCTGCATATTGAAACTTTATAAAACGTATATTATAGGATGGTTTAGATAATATATGAATGCTAAAATAATTTTACTGAATTTTTTGTTTCTGACTTTTATAAGTTGGATGAAAACTGGAAACAAAATTGTCAGTTTCTATATTCAAACGTATGTTCAATATATTTAATAATACCGCATTTAAAGTATTTTTAGATAAAACAATTACAATAATAGACAAGCGTACATAAAACAATCTTGTGTGTGTAATTGAAATCATCTTCATACATTTTAATGACCTAATCAAAAAATGTTTTCGAGATTACTTAGTGAATAAAAATCCCTGGAATTAGGAGCATTATAAGACTGAAGCAACGTTAGAGAGGTCTATGTAAATAGAAAATAATAATAAAATTTAGTGATTAGGATACATAATCACAATAAAACTAATTTCCTTAGTGAAAATTCGCTAAATGCCCCGTAAAAATATGTAGTCTAATTAAAATAAATACATATACATTCAGCTTGATGTTCACATGTATGTTAAAAGAATTCAATCTTTTGAGAGGTATGATATGAATTTGGAGCAGATGCAACAATCTCTCATAATATTCATTTTGATCAGTATTTCATTAAAGAATACACAAGAACAAGAGACAATGTTACTTGCATGTTCATGAAATATTTTAATTTTTCCCCAGATGCACATTGGATTGTGGTTTAGAATCTGTAGTGCATTTCCTTTTATTACAGTATCATTTAAAAAAAAAATTATGAAGGTTATATAAGGTACCAATTTACGTCTCAGACAGACAGAAATGAATATTATGTAATGATGAAGGTATTTCTTGATGCTATCTACTTTGTGGTTTTTATGAAATGTTAACATATGTAGATGCATATTTTTTAAGGTTAAATGAGAAAGGTAAAGCTTATTGCATAGTTAATTTCAATGATATGATGCTGTTACTTAGTTCTAAGGCATTATTAATTTATATTATCTTTTTTAGTGAACTCAAGATATGTAAAAATAATTTGAAGACTTTTTATTAATGGAAAATAAATTCCCAAAGAGGTAAAAAATATTTTCTTGGAATACCTGAAATTTATTTTATGTTAACGTTATTTTTTCCAAATAAATATTTACCACAGAGTATTGTTCAAGACAAATGAGAATTTAAAAATAAATTTGAACATAACATACATATATAATGCTCAGAAGTCAGGGCAAACAAAAGGAAAAGGAAAACAGAACCTTTAAAACACCAAAAGTCGAATCATCTCCCATGGACAAGTTAGCAAACTTAGCTTATTACTAGACAAGGGTCATAAACATGTACCCACTGTGAGCCCTTTGAACAAATCAGAAAAATGGAATTATCTGTATCACTATCGGGCAATTCAGTTTAAAAATAAAGGCCTATCAGTTTGGTTCCTAAAACGTTTGTCAGCATTCGAAGGAACAATTGGTTGTATTTGTAGACAGGGTCATTGTATCCACCAAAGAATTTGCAATTGTAATAAGTAATAATACAGCGATAAATGAGATGCACATGGGTTAGGTAAGTCAGATCACGCTAGCCGTATTAATTTTGTCATTATTCAGATGTGAAAAATCTGATCCATCCTTAAGATGTTGATAAAATATTTTACTTCAATTATGATAAATCGAATATCGATCATGACTGTCACATTAGTAAAGAAGCTACATATATAAAATAGAATGGTGAAACAAATCTTTTAGGATTAAGGTAAAATATAAGTTTTGATATATCTTGAAAGTTTTCTGATGTTTATGACATAGTGAGCCATTGAACTGAATACAATATTTTAGAACAATGTATCATTATTTGAAGCCTTACCTCCAGGATAACACACAAAGATACCTGTATGTGATAAATGTGGTTAACATATTTATTCATTGATTATAATATTGACGTTTCTGAAAATTGTCATTTTGGTTTTTTTGAGCGATTTATATTTTTAAATATCAAGTCAGATGAATCTGAACTTGTTCTTCATTAATTTTTTTTATCAATTAGGAGACAATAATGCTCTTATCAAAGGTTTTTTTTTTGTCAGTATGAAAAAAAAAAAAAAACTAATGTCATATCGTTTTATAATGATTATGGTTCAAGTGACGTTTGTTTAAAAGAGATAATGTTAATTTGAGATATATTTCTAAATGTCAATATAAAATGGGTACATGTAGTTTTGTTAGCGTAAAATATTTACAGATCGAACAATGATTTCTCCTAGATTTATATATTTTATTGTTACGTTTATCCACGAACTTGACAATAAATGCAAGACATGGTATTATTTTCAACGCAATAGCTGTATAGATGTTTAAAGATTTTAATGTAAAGAGTCAAAGAAATTAAGTCATATCATGAATAGTAAATACGTTTTAAAACATATTGTTATAATAACTTCTTGATAATATTAATTTCGTCATCCATATAATTTCAAACCAATATTTTGTTTAGGGCGAATTTCTATGAATTCATTATAAGATAAAGATGAAGAAATTATTTTTTTATCTTCACTATTGTCGACAAATTAATACATCTGAAATAATTATATCAAGGAAATGAATGTATAATTTCACAACTCAAAAAGCCACAAGCAAATTATTATTTCATTTTTACTCCAATAATATCGTTTTCTCTTAATTAATATTAATGACATGTTTCATTGTTGATATTTTTTTCTTTTGAGTAATAAATTATTTTGTTTACTTACAGAAATGATTTAGATGTTTTTTCTATTTCCAGACGTCTTGGAAATAAATGAATTATTTCCAGTATGATTATAAAGGATAAACTAAACAATATGCAAGACAACACATTCCAATTTACCGAATGAATATTAGTTTTCGTTTTTATTATTACGACAACGAGCATCAGTTTATACAGCCTCACCCCAAGAACCAGACTACACGACCCGCAGTGGGATTCAACCCCGCCACATAAGGATCATTTCCTTATTCTACGTCCCTAGAGAAAACAACTGAGCCCTACGGAGTAATCCTTTAAATCTAAACCTAAATCTCAACCAAAGGATGAGATAATTTACAATCATCTTGGAGAGTTTTTGGGATTTTACTTATGTATCTTTTACTATCCCAATGAAGACATCTCCTAAAGTATCTTATATAAGCCTGCATTAAATTTGGAGAAAACTCTTATGAAGCCCAAAAGTCTATTGACGTTATACAAATCAGGAGCGGAGGAATAATAGCTAGACCCTTAAAACTACAAATAACAAAGAAGGGATCGGTTGCCGTTATGAAATAAAAATTCCGTGTCGACCTTCATCATATCGTGTGTTCTTTGTCATGTTGGGGACCCAGAAAAGTCCATACACGAGTCATTGTGTAAGTTCAATGCCTTTAATTTGTTTGAAAAAAAACCCAAAGTCATGGCCACTTTACATAATTATATATTTATTATTTAATATTGCTAAAAAGGGCATTGCATCGAGAATAAAAACGTGTGTAATGTCGACTTTAAACGATACGCTTGTTTTATTTCTTGTTTGGTCAAAAGATTATCCTATTTAGAAAAATGATCATTCGTTGGACAGAGCATTCTCTTGTCAAATCAAGCTAAATAAGCAGGTGATGATCATATATTGCTATATAAATAAAGAAAACTGAGTTGAATTCATCATGTTTATCCTTAAATATTTTTGGTGATTATTTACGTCTTTACTAGTGAAATGTCCAAATATGAAACAAACTTCTTATTCAGAAAGAATGTTCAAATGTTTTTTTTAAAAATAAATATTGTTATTTCATAAAACAAAGTCAATATTTCACGAGATATGGTTTTAACTCGCATAATTTCTTATTCCTAGAATGATCATTCTGTACAGAAAATTAAAAAGCAATGTACAAATG